GAAATACAAATCAAAATTATGATGAGATATCTCCTCACACCTATCAGAATAGCTAAAATCAACAACATAAGAAACAACAGGTGTTGGAGAAGATGTGGAGAAAGGGAACCCGAGGGTGCATTGTTGGTGGGAATGCAAACTGGTACAGCCACTGTGGAAAATGGTATGAAGGTTCCTCAGAAAGTTAGAAATAGAACTATCCTATGATCCAGTAATCACACAACTGGGCATTTACCCAAAGGAGACAAATATAATAACTCAAAAGGATACAGGCACCCCCATGTTTTTAGCAGCATTATCTACAATAGCCAAATTAAAGAAACAGCCACATCTATTGACTAATGAATGGATAAAGAAGATGTGGTGTGTGTGTGTTTGTCCGTGTTTGTATATATACATACTGTGGAATATTACTCAGCCATAAAAAGGAATGAAATCTTGCCATTTGCAACAACATGGATGGAGTTATGCTAAGCGAAATAAATCATTCATGAAGACAAATACCATATGATTTCACTTGTACATGGAATTTAAGAAACAAATGAGCAAAGGGGAAAAAGAGAGAGAGAGAGAAAGACAAACTAAGAAACAGACCTTAACTATAGAGCATAAACTATTGGAAGTGGGAGTGGGGATGGGTAAAATAGGAGATGGGTATTAAGGAGTAACTTGTGATGAGCACTGGGAGATGGATGGAATTGTTGAATCACTAATTGTACACCTGAAACAAATATTACACTGTGTGTTAACTACATTGGAATTTAAAAAAAAATGTTTATGATTACATCTAAAAAATTGTGGAAGACCTCAGAGAAATTTATACATGTTATTTAGAGAAACCAAAAAAGACTTAAGGAAATGGAGGGATATAACATATACCATGTTCATTGATTGAATGATTCAATGCTGTCATCGTGAATGACAATGAATCAATATTGCCATCCCCCATCATCCTGGGATATGTCAGTTTTCTTCAAACTAATCTACAGATTCAAAGTATTTCTTTTTTTTCTTCTTTATTGTGTAAATGGAGGTTTGAACCTCTTAATCTCATTTATCTATTTTGCCCACCACCCCCTTCCCTGGCAACCACCAGTTTGTTCTATTTATAAGTCTTGTTTTGTTTTGTTTTAGATAGCACATGTAAATGATATCATATGGTATTTATCTTTTCCTGTCTGATTTATTTCATTTAACATAGTACCCTCTAGGTCCATCCATGCTATCACAAATGGTAAGATTTCATTCTTTTTTTATGGATCAGTAATATTCTATTGTGTGTGTATACACACACACGCACACACACACACACACACACACACATGCACATACCACATCTTTACCCATTCATCTATTGATGGACACTGAGGTTGCTTCCATACCTTGGCTGTTATAAATGCTGCAATGAACATGAATCCATATATCTTTTCAAATTAGTTTTCTAATCAAAATCTCAGCAAATGTGTCTGTGGAATTTGACAAGTTATTTCTAAAACTTAAGTGGAAATACAAAAGTTAATTTTAAGCAAGAATTAAAGTAGAATGGTTAATCAAACTGAAGACAATTCACTAAATTGAATACTACATAACAATGAAAGTAATAAACTATAGCTACATGCAACATGGATGAAATTTATAAACAGAACATCGAGCAAAAGAAGCCAAATATAAACAAGAATATATGTATGATATCACTTCTATAATTTTCTAAACAATAGGCAAAACTAATCTATAGTGTTTTAAATCAGGATAGTATTACACCTGGGGATTAGGTACTGATTGAAAGATAAAACGGGGGTTTCTGTGGATCTAGTAATTTTCTGTTTCTTGATTCTTGTGTTTGTTAACATAGGTAAATTATTTCATGGTGTACACTTAACACACTGTTTTTTTAATGTTTTTTTTAAGATTTTATTTTTAAGTTATCTCTATACCCAACATGGGGCTTGAACCCATAACCCTGAGATCAAGTTTCATGCTCCACCAACTGAGCCAACCAGGCACCCCTACACAGTTTCTTGATTTGGTAACACTTACACACACACCAAAAAGAAAAAAAATAAGGAAGTTTTTTATATATTGATAAGGAATGATCTTTAGAATTACAAAAAGAGTGAAACAAGGTACAAAACTGTATAACATGCTATAATTTGTGTTATAGAAACATATATATTCATATTTGCTTATATATACATAAGGAAAAAAATTATGTTACATATAATTGCCTTTATGTGTACATAATAAATCTCTGGAAAGATATAGTAAATAAGTAACACTGCTTGCCTCCATTGATGGGGACTAAGTGTCCAAGGAAGAGGAGTGGAAGATAAATCCTCACTGTATACACAACTTACATCTTTTGAATGTCAAACCAGGTAAATATGTTAACTATTCAAGAAAATTTAAAAATAAACATAATGCAAATTACCTTTATAAAGCAATAGTATTTTTTAAATTGGAGTTATAAACTTCCCCAAAAGCCAACTCTGATGGATCAAGTTTGTTAGATAATTTCATAAATTATAGGGTTCTTAAAATATTCCTTCCCTGCAGCTTAGCTAATATTTCTTAGAAGTACTCTGATGATATCAAAGCAGAACACCACAGATAGAAAAAAAATAAACTCTGATATAATAAGTACAAATAAGCTAATGTCTTTATGTCATAGACTACCTATTGAATTTTACTTGAAAACCATATAAAACAATTATAAGCTTTTCCCATTATACAATTTATGATCAGTGATAGCAAGGACTATTAACATGCCTAAAATATGAATGCCTTATTTTATTAATTTTTAGATCATGTAGCACAGAAATCAAAACAGTTGTTCTTCCATATTTAGCTTTAAAATCAGATTTGAAAGGAATCCAAGGATCATTCCCCAGAAGCAGCTGAAATATCTAAACCTATTTCTCAACAGATACTGCCTTCAAAGAATATGAGACCAAAGGTTGAAGGTGCCCTATAAAAAATAAATAAAAACCTAAAATGTATAGCATAAACTATATAAATATATATATAGTACAAACATAAAGATATATAAAAATTTACATAGTTTACTGGCTAATTTAAGAAGGCTTAGAGTTCCAAAAGATGCTTGGTTAAATTCTCCTTTACAGACCTAGGCCTCCATTCACCATACATTTAAAAATATTTCCCTCCCTACAGTAAATTGTGATAGTTAATGATTATTTCAATTCAAGATAATGATAACTTTCAAATTCAAGATAATGAATTTATCTTTGTCAAAAATATAGATATCATAATTTTGTAAGTATTAAAATGAGCAATGCCTACAAAATTCTATGATTCTATATGTCCAAAAGCTGTCAGCTTGGTCTTTTATGTTGCTAACAGGTAAATCCACATCAATTGAGATAATAAAATTATAACCGAAAATCATCACCATCAATTGTTTCTTTCCCGCACCCCCCCAAAAGGGCCATAAAAGGGGCCAGAACATTTCCTTCAACATTCCAACTGTGAGGGTGAAAAACCTATTTTGTTCATCTACACAAAGGTGTAGAGCCAGATCTACTCAAATCATGGAAACAAACAAAACTTTTACAAGCAGAGAAAGAGATAAAATCAATATGTCAATATCTGTGTAGGTAATATTTTTAGTGATAAAAAACAGGAATAGTATAACAACTCTTGACTGATCTTTAAATTTTTTAATATCCTGAAATTTCTGCTATATTACTTACTTTAAAATTTAAGATAAAATAACCAAAATTAGATCTAATCTAAATAAAGAAATTCCATCTAGTTTTAGCAGACATCTAAAATACAAATTCCCTCCTCTCAAAATATACTGGATATAATAAATATAATTGATGCTGAATCCTAAAAAACTGTAGACATAACACTCATGAATATTGAAGGTTAATGATTTAAAGAGTACAGTATGCACACAAGTGAAAAAAACTTCAGGTAAATAAAAGAATGTCTGCATAACTGCCATCGTTTTTCCTCACATACTTATAAAAACAGATTTACTTCTTTAAACTCTGTCCATATAGTGATGATTCCTTATTAAACTACTACCATTCAACAAAATAAAATAAGCACTATCTTGAGTTCTTAGCAGTGACTGCCTGCCTCCATTATTCACCTACCTCAGTTTGAATAGTACTTGCTAATCTGTGTAAATTTACTTCTCAGGGGTTTCTTTTTCTTTCATTAACATCAAATTTTCCTGTGATGGCCCTTCTCATTCACTGCAAAGAGTTAGATTGTTTTCCAAATAATAAACAAATATCAGGTTATTTTTCAGTTAAATTACAGAGACAGATAATGAAATACAAATTTTACTTATCTCCAGGTGGATTATCAGTTGAGTAGATGTAAATTATGTTCTAGGTCTAATTGACACCAACATTAGAAACATTAAAGTTTGGTAATTTGTTACAAATAAAATCTAGTAAATTTTCCCATATCCATTCATTTAATTTTCTCTTTCTGATTACTAATATTTCATTCTAAAATGGGAGAATCTAAATTCTGATCAAATTACCATCTTGGAAAACATTAAGCTTGTATGTGTAGTATTGCTCAACACTTAGTACCAACATTTTTGGAATCTGGAACTTTTGTCTCAGGGTTTTTTTTCATGTTAAAATATTTAAGCAAAAGAGTTTAGTGTAGGACATAACTGCCATGATCAAAAGGTGTAAAAAAACTTTAGTATTTACTTGACTTTTAAAATTTTAGGTCTGAGTTTTCAGCACCGTGGCCTGGGGGGGAAAAGATGCATCACTGATGCAGTGCCAGTTTATAGCAAGAACAGAAATGGTAGGAGTTCCCCATTAGATGATTGAATCTAATCAATTATGAATTTTCTACAAAAGTAAACTACTATAAAAGCAAGCATAACATCAAATTATTTCCAGATATTAAGATTCTGAAAAAATCTAGTCTTTCAAAAGTTAACCTGAAACTTCTTAGGAAATACTTTTCTCAAACATCAAGAAATTGTTTAACTCAGACATTCTTACCGTTCTCGGTTAAATTTAAGAGAATGAAGAATAGCTGGCCTTTTTTGTCTAAGATTCCACAAATGAAGGGTATCATCTGAACTTGCACTAACCAAAGCACCCTGAAACAAAAAAGAAGACAAAGCAAGTGAGTGACTTCCTTAAGAGTTTTATTTAAGCAAAAACAACAAGATAATTCACTGAATTTTTCACTACTTGAAGAGTTATTTGTATCTATATAACCTAGAAATATAAGGAAAAATAACTGTACATATTTCAATCAGGAAGGCTAAGAATGCTGAGTAGAAGCAAGTGAACTACTACATATAGATTGGTCTGGATGACTACCTCAAGTCATATGTATTTACCACTAGAGAGAAAAAATTATTGTAAGCATCATTAGAACTATTAAGGATTTTTGTATTTTCTTTGGGAAAAACTAAGTTTAATTTTCTTGTCTCTAATATTCACACACATACTATGTAGCTTCCAGAAAAGAAAATATCCAACCCAGTTTTAAAATTGCAATCTGTTCACATAAAAATTCGTCATTTGTAAGGATTTTCTGTACAGTTGGACGGTATATATACTTTCTAAAAAGTATACTTGGTATAATTTATTTTCAATAGATAACTTGTTTCAAGAAGCTTCACCTATGGGGTACCTGGGTGGCTCAGTTGGTTAAGCATCTGCCTTTGGCTCAGGTCATGATCCCAGGGCCCCAGTTCAACTCCCTGCTCAGCAGGGAGTCTGCTTATCCCTCTCCTTCTGCTTCTGCCCCTCCCGCCTCTCTCTCTCTCAAATAAATACAATTTTTTAAAAAAGAAAAGAAAAGAAGCTTAATCTATGATAAAAGAAAACATCTTTAATAAAAGAAAATGTTTCTCCAGCTAGAAATCAGTATAACTACAAAAATAATACCAATTTTTTTACATTGCATCTAAATACAGATGAATTATATTTCAAATACAATAGGATATTTTCTACTTCTTAATACAGCAGATACCATAAGGGCAGATAACTAGTGGCCATGTATGATTTCATACATCTATATGCTTGAACTATTTACTTGAGTTAAGTAAGAATATCTTAAACTATGTCAGAACTTTTACTATTATGAGTTTCCCAGCTAAAAATGCCAATGCTTGCCCTATGACGAAGCCTGAAGGTACTCTAGAGTACTATGTTCTATAAAAGAGATCTTGCAGAATCATGGTATCCTCATATACCCAAAATTCTTTTCATATTTTCCAAAGTAATCTGTTACAAGTAACCTTTCATAGTTTATAACATCAACTACATATATAAAATGATTATCCCATTTAGATGATCAGATATAGTTATACTGAAATTCCTAAGATTTATTTCTTCTTTAGGAATTAAAAGAGAGAAGATAGAAACTGTTACAGAAGAACATTTAGATTCCTAAGATAAAAATGCTCATGTATCCTATCATGCTTCTCTTCATATTGTGTACCTGTGATTTTAGGCTCAAAGAATAACTTTTAAAACACAAATTGTAATCCAAGAGTATACCCATTAAAATATGTTAAAAATGTATATAATTTGCATATTTGTATGTAAGTATATAAATACACATGTTAAAAGTTATACATTGATACATACATTTTAACAAGAACTCAGAGATAATTACATTCCATGCAATAAAATATATTCTATACATGCCTTGAGGAATTTTCTGTTTGTTTGCTTGTTTTATTTATAAACCATCTCCAAATGTTACTTATATACAAACTAGAATGTTATTAGGATTGCTTACAAGTGCTTGATAAGCTCATTTCTTCTTTTTTTTTTTTTTGATACAGGATACTGATCTCCTTTCTAAGGACAATGGAAATTCACTTAAAACAGGGTGAGGATAGAACATGATATATGAAATTAATAAAACATTCTCTAAATAGTTATGTGCTATACAAAAGACGTGATATGCCAAAGGCAATGGAATTAAAGGCAGCATATATTCAGTAATATATAATAATAATAGCCAAATAAATCTAGGAAGGAAGTCAGTATTATTAGTTCTATGATTAAAATAGGAGGCAACTTATCATTTTGGAGGGATGTGAATAGGACCACTTAGCATAACAACATCAACAGAGATTATAAGACACATGAAAGTAAGCACATCAGCAGGGTGTCTAGGGCTTATTTACAAAAGCAAAGTGAATCTATAAGAAGCACAAGTAATAAAGATCTATGAAAAGACTAAAATCTGAATAAAAACATCAGCTGTGAGGTCAGGGACTAAAAAGTTTGGGAAAAGGTAAAGAAATTGAGTGTGAGAGGAGGAAAAGATGGTGGAAGAATAGGGGACCCTATTCCAGCTGGTCCCCTGAATTGAGCTGGATATCTGCCAGACGACTCTGAACCCCCATGAAATCAGCCTGAGATGTAAAAAGATACAACTGGATCGCTACAAAAAGAATATCGCAGGTGGTTGGTGTCAAGGTATAAAGCAGGGAGCTGTGATTCTGAGGGCAGATTTCGGAAGATAAACAGAAGGGGGAGGGAGGCTTTGGGAGCCTGCACTGCTGGTGCGCGAAACCCTCCCGGGCTGGGGATGGGGCACAGACTCGCAGACCAGTAGCAGTGAGGAAAGGACTTTAGGGCAGCCCCCCGACCAAAACCTGGAGCCTCTGGCTGTGCATGGGGCCTGGGAGCGACTAGCAGTTTTAGAAGCACAAGGGCAGAGACGTGCCTGGACCTGGAAGCTGAGGGGCACACAACCCAGGATGCTGCATTTTTTAGCAGCACAGACAGAAAGGGAGATAGAGTGGCCTGGAGAGCTCAATGAAGAGCAGACTGCGATCTCTCTGTTCTGAGACAGAGGGTTAGAAAGAGTCTCTTCTGCTCTGACTCTTGGAAGAGATGCAGAAAGCCACCAGGGAAAGCCACCAGAGAACAAAAGCCCCCCCCAAAAAAACAGTTTTCACTGAGCCCAACACCTCCCCCCCACAGGGGGCAGGGCAACTCTGCCCAAACAGGGTTACCTGAGTAACAGCACGGCAGGCCCCTCCCCCAGAAGACAGGTTGAGAGAACAAGAGGCCGACAACCCTAAAGTCCCTATAAAACAGGTGCATCTTACGTGGGGTGTGGTCAGTAATTTGGACTCTGTACGTTCCCTCAACCACCCCTCAAAAGAATGACTAGGAGAAAGAAACCTCCCCCCAAAGAGGAAAGACTCAGGGACTGTGACTTCTGCCACAGATTTACAAATGGATACAGATATAAACAAGATGTTGGAAATGGACTTCAGGGTAACAGTTATGAAGACAATAGCTAGAATGGAGAAATTGATTAATGGCAACATAGAGTCTCTAAGGACAGAAATGAGAGCTAAACTGGCAGAACTTAAAAATGCTATTAATGAGATACAATCTAATCTAGATACTCTAACAGCTACGGTAAACGAGGCAGAAGAATGAATTAGTGATCTAGAAGACAAATTGATAGAAAAGAAGGAAAAAGAGGAGGCCTGGGAGAAACAGCTTAAAATCCATGATAACAGAATTAGAGAAATAAGTGACGCCATGAAACGTTCCAATGTCAGAATTACTGGGATCCCTGAGGGGGTGGAGAGAGAGGACTAGAAGATATATTTGAGCAAATTGTGGCTGAGAAATTCCCTAATCTGGGGAATGAAACAGATATTCGTGTCCTAGAGGCAGAGAGGACCCCTCCCAAGATCAAGGAAAACAGACCAATGCCCCAGCATGTAATAGTAAAACTCGCAAATCTTAGAAACAAGGAAACCATATTAAGGGCAGTTAGGGGGAAGAGATTCCTTATGTACAGAGGGAGGAACAACAGAATAACGTCAGACCTATCCACAGAGACCTGGCAAGCCAGAAAGGGCAAGCAAGACATATTCAGGGTACTAAATGAGAAGAACATATAGCCAACGATACTTTATCTGGAAAGGCTGTCATTTAGAATGGATGGAGAGATGCAAAGCTTCCAAGACTGGCAGAAATTGAAAGGATATGTGACCACTAAGCCAGCCCCGCAAGAAATATTAAGAGGGGTTCTAAAAAAGGAGAAAGACCCCAAGAGTGATATAGAACAGAAATTTACAGACTATAGAAATAAGGACTTCCCAGGCAACATGATGAAAATAAATTCATATCTTTCAATAATCACTCTCAACGTGAATGGCCTAAATGCTCCCATAAAATGGCACAGGGTTGCAGACTGGATAAAAAGACAGGACCCATCGATACACTGTCTACAAGAGACTCATTTTGAACCTAAGGATACATCCAGACTGAAAGTGAAGGGATTGAGATCCATCTTCCAGGCCAACAGACCTCAAAAGAAAGCTGGTGTAGCAATTCTTATATCAGACAAATTAGATTTTAAGCTAAAGACTGTAATTAGAGACACAGAAGGACACTGTATCATTCTTAAAGCATCTATCCAACAAGATCTAACAACTGTAAATATCTATACCCCCAACATGGGAGCAGTCAACTACATAAGCCAACTGTTAACCAAAATAAAGAGTCATATTGATAATAATACACTAATTGTAGGAAATCTCAATACTCCACTCTCAGCAATAGAGAGATCATTTAAGCAGAAAATCAACAAAGAAACAAGAGCTTTGAATGACACACTGGACCAGATGGACCTCATAGATAATATACAGAACATTCCACCCTAAAACAACAGAATACTCATTCTTCTTGAGCACACATGGAAATTTCTCCAGAATAGACCACATAGGTCACAAATCAGGTCTCAACTGATACCAAAAGATTGAGATTATTCCCTGCATATTCTCAGACCATAATGCTTTAAAATGGGAACACAATCACAAGAAAAAATTTGGAAGAAATTCAAACACTTGGAAGCTAAAGACCACTCTGCTCAAGAATGTTTGGGTCAACCAGGAAATCAAAGAAGAACCTAAACAATTCATGGAAACCAATGAGAATGAAAACACATCGGTTCAAAATCTATGGGATACTGCAAAGGCAGTCCTAAGTGGGAAATACATAGCCATCCAAGCCTCACTCAAAAAAAGAAAAATCCCAAATTCACCAACTAACTTTACACCTTAAAGAACTAGAGAAAAAGCAAGAAACGATGCCTAAGCCACATATTAGAAGAGAAATAATTAAAATTAGAGCAGAGATCAATGAATTAGAAACCAGAAACACAGTAGATCAGATCAACAAAACTAGAAGCTGGTTCTTTGAAAGAATTAATAAGATTGATAAACCACTGGCCAGACTTATCCAAAGAAAAGAGAAAGGACTCAAATTAATAAAATTATGAATGAAAGGGGAGAGATCACAACTAACACCAAGGAAATAGAAACAATTATTAGAAATTATTATCAACAAGTATATGCCCATAAACTAAGCAACCTGGAAGGAATGGATGCCTTCCTGGAAACCTATAACCTCCCAAGACTGAAACAGGAAGAAACTGACAACCTGAATAGGCCAATAACCAGTAACAAGATTGAAGCAGTGATCAAAAATCTCCCAAAAAACAAGAGTCCAGGGCCTGATGGATTCCCTGGGGAATTCTACCAAACATTCAAAGAAGAAATAATACCTATTCTCCTGAAGCTGTTTCAAAAAATAGAAACAGAAGGAAAGCTTCCAGACTCATTCTATGAGGCCAGCATTACCTTAAACCCAAACCAGGCAAAGACCCCATCAAAAAGAATTTCAGACCAATATCCCTGATGAATATGGATTACAAAATTCCCAACAAAATCCTAGCTAATAGGATCCAACAATACATCAGAAGGATCATGAACCACAACCAAGTGGGATTTATCCCTGGGAAGCAAGGGTGGTTCAACATTTGCAAATCAAACAATGTGATAGAACACATTAATAAGAGGAGAGAGAAGAACCATATGGTCCTCTCAATTGATGCAGAAAAAGCATTTGACAAAATACAGCATTCTTTCCTGATTAAAACTCTTCAGAGTATAGGGATAGAGGGAACATTCCTCAAGTTCATAAAATCCATCTATGAAAAACCCACAGCGAATATTATCCTCAATGGGGAAAAGCTGAGAGCCTCTCCCTTAAGATCAGGGACACGACAAGGATACCCACTATCACCACTATTGTTCAACATAGTACTAGAAGTCCTAGCAACAGCAATCAGACAACAAAAAGAAAATAAGGTATACAAACTGGCAAAGAAGAAGTTAAACTCTGTCTCTTTGCAGAAGACATGATATTTTATGTGGAAAATCCAAAAGACTCTACCCCGAAATTACTAGAACTCATACAGCAATTCAGTAATGTGGCAGGATACAAAATCAATGTACAGAAAGCAGTTGCTTTCTTATATACTAACAATGTAACTGTAGAAAGAGAAATTAAAGAATCGATTCCATTTACAATAGCACCAAAAACCATAAGATACTTCAGAATAAACCTAACCAAAGAGTTAAAGGATCTATACTCTAGGAACTACAGAACACTTATGAAACAAACTGAAGACATAAAAAGATGGAAAAACATTCCATGCTCATGGATCGGAAGAATAAACATTGTTAAAATGTCTATGCAACCCAGAGCAATCTATACCTTCAATGCCATCCCAGTCAAAATTCCAATGACATTTTTCAAAGTGCTGGAACAACAATCCTAAAATTTGTATCGAATCAGAAAAGACCCTGAATCGCCAAGGAAATGTTGAAAAAGAAAAACACAGCTGGGGGCATCACGTTGCCTGATTTCAAGCTATATTACAAAGCTGTGATCACCAAGACAGAATGGTACTGGCACAAAAACAGACATATAGACCAATGGAACAGAATAGAGAGCCCAGATATGGACCCTCAATTCTATGGTCAAATAATCTTCGACAAAGCAGGAAAAAATATGCAATGGAAAAAAGACAGTCTCTTCAATAAATGGTGCTGGGAAAATTGGGCAGCTATATACAGAAGAATGAAACGACCATTCTCTAACACCATACACAAAGATAAACTCAAAATCGGTGAAAGACCTCAATGCGAGACAGGAATCCATCAAAATCCTAGAGATGAAAATAGGCAGTAATCTCTTTGACATTGGCCACAGCAACTTCTTTCAAGACATATCTCCAAAGGCAAGTGAAACAAAAGCAAAAGTGAACTTTTGGGATTTCATCAAGATAAAAAGTTTCTGCACAGCAAAGGAAACCATCAACAAAAGAGGCAACCCACAGAATGGGAGAAGATGTTTGCAAATGACAGTACAGACAAAGGACTGTTATCTAAGATCTATAAAGAACTTCTCAAACCCAAAAAACAATAATCAAGTCAAAAAATGGGCAGAAGACATGAACAGCCACTTCTCAAAAGAAGAGATACAAATGGCTAACAGACACATGAAAAAATGTTCATCATCATTAGACATCAAGGAAATTCAAATCAAAACCACATTGAGATACCACCTTAATGCCAGTTAGAATGGCAAAAACTGACAAGACAAGAAATAATAAATGTTGGAGAGGTTGTGGAGAAAGGGGAACCCTCTTACACTGTTGGTGGGAATGCAAGTTGGTACAGCCACTTTGGGAAACAGTGTGGAGGTGCCTAAAAAAATTAAAAATAGAGCTACCCTATGACCCAGCAATTGCACTACTGGATATTTAACCCAAAGACATAGATGTAATGAAAAGAAGGCCATATGCACCTCCAATGTTCATAGAAGCAATGTCCGCAATAGCCAAACTGTGGAAAGGGCCGAGATGCCCTTCAACAGATGAATGGATAAAGAAGAAGTGCTCCATATAAACAATGGAATATTACTCAGCCGTTGGAAAGGATTAATACCCAACTTCTACATCAACATGGATGGGACTGGAGGAGATTATGCTAAGTGAAATAAGTCAAGCAGAGAAAGTCAATTGTCATATGGTTTCACTTATTTGTGGAACATAAGGAATGGCATGGAGGACATTAGGAGAAGGAAGGGAAAAATGAAGGGGGGGGGAATTGGAGGGAAAGATGAACCATAAGAGACTATGGACTCTGAGTAACAAACTGAGGGTTCTAGAGGGGAGGGGGGTGGAGGGATGGGTTAGCCCAGTGATGGGTATTAAGGAGGGCATGTATTGCATGGAGCACTGGGTGTTATACGCAAACAATGAATCCTGGAACACTACATCAAAAACTAATGAGGTACTGTGCTGACTAACAAAATTAAATTAAATTAAAAAAAAAAGAAACTGAGTGTGAGATGGATCAGGGTGACTACTTCAGGCTAGACAATGTAAACAACTGAAGGATGTTGAAGGCTTGTCTTTTTACTTATTCAGCATAGAGGCAAACTTAGGGACTTGAAGATAATTCTCAGAGGATGGAAACCAGAGAAAATTACCTGGAAACAAGTTATGCCTGCTAGTACACTACCATGCAGAAGGCAAAAAGTTGAGATGTCTCCACTAGAGTGACACAGAGACTTCAAAAAGGTTGGCATTCTAAATACTAATGACAAGTATTACAATAAAATATTTTTTTAAAATTTCCCTTTTCTTTCTTATCTCCCTCTCTCATTGTGGTACCCCATAGCAAGTATACCTACAAGGTAAAATACGCTAGGTTTGTCAATAAGGAGAATCTCACTGACTTCTGAGAAAGAGTTTGAACCAAGATAAGTAAAAAGTGGACATCTGCCAACATCACAAATTTTTCATGCCTTAAAGTGTCTCTGAGACAAAAATCTATGAACCATTTTATCCATGTTTATGATTATAAAATTCTTAGAAAAAAACATATATGAAAATATATGGAGATATGGAATAAGAGATCATTCATACCATAAGAAAACAACCAGCAGTACTTCATTTTTTTTTTTCCTCAAGGCATTGAGTTCAGTCTGCTAAGTGCCTGGATTTGGTATGGCACAAATTTTTAAGGAATTTTTGCATTGACAGCTAGGTTAACTGAAAACACCTCTAAAAGACACAATGATCCACTTAAAATGTGAGTAAAAAATGAGTCCAGAAGGCCTTAAGAAGCCTTTAACTGATGGAAGATCTGTAACTTTTCTGAGCTTTTTAAATACATACTCTGTCTTTAGGAAGTTCCTCATCACCCTAGGTCTATAGAATAGGGATAGGGTAGGGAATCAATTGTCATAATAGCTATGGATACCTAAATAAATACAAATGCATATATGTACCAATAAATATATCTGTATAGATAGATGATTGATAGGTAGATAGATAGATAGATAGCAGAACCCATAGGAAAATAACTGAAAAAGTTATTTCCTGAAAGATAAGGGCAAAACATGAAGTTAATGCTGATTATAAAATTTAAATTAGTATGCTGAAGAAAAGTTTAGTAGTTGATGGAGCAATTAGAGTTTTAGTAATTTTTTTAAAAACATGTAGATAATCTGCAAATTATGCTGCATTATAATAACAGAATCTTCTGATATATGCAACCTTTCTCCTTTAAAATATAATAAATTGACAAATACTGAAGTAGTCTTTTATAAGAAATGTGACCATGAATAATATTGCACACATATATATCTTTAAACATTTAGAATATATAAAAAATAACATACTTAAGTACAAATATATTTTATATATCATAATATAAAAAAGATCACATCAACTAATGTAGTGTGTATATTTACGTCTCTGTGATAAATAGTCAAGAAAATCCTTACCTCATTGATCAAGAATTGGAGCTGCAGGACAGCTGCACCACTCTCATGTTGGCAATAACAATCAACGCCAGGTCTCCCAAGTCTAATATATTAAAAGTCAAGGATTCTAACATTTTAATTAGTACTAATATTAATGAGTAAAGTAAAAACTAACTTACTTAGCATCTAATGTTTTGCTTTTTAGTTATCCTTATTTTGCAAATAAAGAGTCAAAAAATCTTAGTTAATACAAATTACATTATATAGCATAGGACATCAGCAAAATGGCCAAATAGGACATCTCTTGCACATATCACCTCCTTGACAATGATAATTTGCCATCCATGCACAAACAAAAGTGCCTTCCTGGGAGCTTCCAGATCTAGATAGGAGACTGTGAAACTACAGTGCAGTCCAAGAATGAAGAGAGTTGTACTGAGAAGGCAGGCTTACACCAGGCAGCTGATTTACTGACTGTAGTCTCAGCTACAGAAACAGAAATACCTCTGTGCCCCTGAAAACTCAGCTATAGATAGCCTATTCAGCTTGGGGTCTGTCACCAGCATGTACTATATGCCAAGAGATCTGCACATCAAGTGATAGTCATACAAACCTCATTTCAACTGTGGATCCAGAAGTGGTATTTGAACCAGCTCAAGCTCTTCTTGGCTGCAGTGCAGGAGCCCCTGGAGGTAAGCCCACCAAATTCAGGCAGATCAAAGATCTGAAATGGACTTGTAACTGGGCTCCAGCCCATCCCAGCCACAGTCTAGGAACAATCTTGCTGGTACAGGGACCCTGTTGGAGACACTCTTGTCTGTGCCCCTAGAGATCCTGAAGGGGCCCTATATGTGCTCCATCTTCCTCACAGCAACAGTCAGTCAGTCTGCCAGCAGTCCTGAGGGTCCAGGGTCCCAGCAGAAGACATTCCCATCTGTGTATCTGAAGATCTGGAAAGGGTCTCATCCTCTCCTCCCCACCCTTCCAGTCACAGTCCACAGGTAAGAATGCTGGCATGAGAACCAGGCTGCAGACACTCCCATCTGTGCTCACAGGGATCCTGAAAGGGCCAATACATAAGCCCAGCCTCCTCCCAGTCATAGTCAGGCAACAGTCCTGAGGGTCCAGGGTTCCAGGGGGAAACATTCCTGGATACAACCCTGATGACTCTGAAAGGGCCTTATACTCAGCTCCAGCTCCTCCAACAGCAATCTATGAATAGTCGTGCTGCCACAGAGACCTAGCAGGAGACACTCCTGTTTGTACTCCCAGTGATCCCTATACTGGGTAACAGCCCCTCCCAGCCTCAATCCATGAGCAATCCTATAAGCACAGGGACCTGGTAAAAGACACAACTGTACCCCAAAATTTCCTGAAAGGGCCCTATACTTGGCTTGAGCCCCTCTGGCCATGGTCAGGGACCAATCCAACCTATCCAGTGACTTGGAGGGAGACATCCCATCTGTGCCCCCAGAGCCAGGTCTGCAAACCTTAATCTTGGCTGTGGAATGTGAAACAGCCCTGAGGCTCAGTTCCAGCACCTCTCAGCCACAGTTCAGGATCAATCCTGCCCACCCAGGGAGCCATCCAGTAATGAGGCAGCAGTTCTCCCAGGGATCTGATGGGAGCCACATCTACCATTTACCTGATCATAGGCCCACTGACTGTTTACCTGATAATAGGACCCACATGTGGACCCTTGTCCAGTACCACCCTACTGACAAGGTACTAGAGGCAACAGTTGCATGCACCTAGGGACCAGAAGTGATCCACACTGGCCTAAGCCCTGGTAACAAGCCCAACCACAGACTCCACTGCAGATCCAGTGACAGCCTTGTAACTGGCTCCAACACAGCACAACTGCAAGTCTGGAGATAATACTATCAGCCCAGGGAATAGGACAAAAAAAAAGGTCTTTATCTTAGAGTCTATAAAGACTGAAAGAAGTGTTTGCCCCTACAAATGCAGAGATGTCAATGCAAGGCAACATGGATCATGAAGAATCAAACGTATCATCACCAACAAACACTGATAGCACTCCAGTAACGGACCCCAAAGAAATGGAGATTTATGATTTGCCCATCAATTAAAATAATCATCTTTAAAAAATTGATTTAAATGCAAAAGAACACAGATAGCTAAAGAAAAACAGGAAAATAATTCATGAACAAAATGCACTTAATAAAGAAACAGAAACTATAGAAAAGAACCAAACAGAAATCCTGGAGTTCAAGAATACAATGCCAGAAATGAAGAATTCAAAACAGAGCTTCAATAACAGCCCTGATCACACAAAAGAATTAGAAAACACAAAGATAAATCATCTGAAATTAGCCACTTAGAGGAACAAGAAGAAGGAAGAGTGAAGAAAGCCTAAGTAAATTATGGGATACCAACAAGCAAATGGGCACATGCATCATGAGAGTCCCAGAAGAAAAAGAAGAGGAGAAAAAAGCAGAAAGATCATTTAAAGAAAAAAACAGCTGAAAACTTCCCAAATCTTGGAAAAGATGTAGACATCCAGGTACAGGAAGCTCAAAGGAACCCAAGCAAGATCAACCCAAAGATTACGCTGAGAAATATTGTAACCAAAATGCTTAAAGTCAAAGACAAGGAGATAATTTTGAAAGCAACAAGTGAAAAGCAATTTGTCAATACAAAAAACCCACATAAGACTATCAGTGGATTTCTCTGCAGAAATCTAGCAGGCCAGGAGTTAGTGGAATGATATCTTTCAGAGTAATGAAAGAAAAAAAAAACTGCCAACCAAGAATGCCATACCCAGCAAAACTGTCTTTCAGAAATGAAGGAAAGATAAACACATTCCTGGACAAAGAATAGCTAAGGTAGTTCGTTACCACTAAACCTGCTGTTACAAAAAATGTTAAAGGGAGCTCAAGCTGAAATGAAAGGACACTATGTAACAACATGAAAACATAAAAGCATAAAACTCATTTATAAGAGTAAATAGTTAAATTTGGAATACCTCAGTACTGTAATGGTGGTATATAAATTACTTTTATCTCTATTATAAAAACTGACGATAATATTTAAAAAATTGTAGGTATAATAATTTGTTAATGGATGTACAATATATAAAGATGTAAAATGTGACAATAGCATAAAATTTGGGGGGAGGAGAAGTAAAAGTGTAGAGTATTGTATGTGATTGAAAGTGAGTTGTTATCAGCTTAAAATAGACTTATATCTCTAAGATGTTTTACATAAGTCTCATGGTAACTAAAAAGAAAAGGAAATCTATAGTATTTACATAAAAATTAGAGAAAAGAATTAAAGCACATAAAAATATATACAAAAAATAACACAAATTAAGAGATGAAGAAAAGAACAAAGGAACTAAAAAATTCAGAAAACAATTTAAAAATGGCAATAGTAAGTACTTACCAACCAATAATTAATTTAAATGTAAGTAAACTAATTCTTTAATCAAAAGACACAAAAGTGGCTAAACGGATAAAATACAAGATCCAGATATGTGGTCTATACCAGACACTCTCTTTAGCTTTATGGATACACATAGGCAGAAATGGAAGGGATGGGAAAAGATATTCTATGCACTATACTGATGTCAGATAAAACAGACTTTTCTCAAAATCAGTGGCAAGAGGAAAATGTTGACATAGTGATAAAGGGGTCAATTCATCAAGAGGATATAACAATTATAAATACATATGTACCAACACTGGAGCACCTATATATTTAAAGCAAATATTAGAACTGGAGGGAGAAATAGAAGGCAATACAATACTAGTAAGACACTTAAATACCCACTTTCAACGTTAGAGAAATCATCTAGACAGAATTAATAAGAAAACAGCGAAGCTAAATAACACCAGAGACTAAATGGACCTAACAGACATATAAAGTAACAGACATATAAAGAACATTCCATTCAAGAAACCAGAATTAACATTCTTCTCAAATGCACACAAAACATTCTCCAAGATAGATCATATGTTGGAACACAAAGCAAGAAGATTGAAACTATTTCTAATATCTTTTCTGACCACAGTGCTATTACACTAAAAATCAGGAGGAAAACTGGAAAATTCACAAATATGTGAAAAGTAAACAACACAATTCTGAACAACTAATGGATCAAAGAAGAAACCAAAAGGGAAATCATATAATATCTTGAGACAAACGGAAATGAAAACAAGACATACCAAAACTTATGGAATACAGGAAAGCAGTTCTACAAGAAAATTTATAGCAACAAATGCCAAAAATAAGAGAAAGATCGCAAATAACCTAATTTTACACCAAAAGGAACTAGAAAAAGAACAAACTAAGCCCAAGTTAGCAGAAGAAAGGAAAAGATCAGAGTGGAAAAAACTAAAATAGAGACTAAAGAAACAATAGGAAAAAAATCAATGAAACTAAGAGCCATTTTTTTGGTGGGATAAACAAAATCAACAAACCTTTAGCTGAAGTAATCAAGAAAAAAAGAGAAGACTCAAATAAATGTATAAATGAAAGAGAAGACATTACACATTATCCCACAGAATTACAAAAAATCATAGAAGCTACTATGAACAATTATATGTAAACAAATTGGACAACTGAAAAGCAATGGATAAATTCCTAGAAAGAATGAATTATGAAGAAACAGAAAATCTAAACAGACTAACAGTGACGAAAGGGATTGAAGCAACAAACACAACCTCCCTTGGGGCAACTAGGTGGCTCAGTTGGTTGAGTGTCTGACTCTTGGTTTTGGCACAGGTCATGATCTCAGGGTCATAGGATCAAGCCCCAGGTCAGGCTCTGCGTTCAGTGCAGAATCTGCTTGAGATTCACTCTCCATCTCTCTCTGCCGTTCCCCCTGCTCACACTTGTGCTCCCTCTCTCTCTCTCTCTCAAAAATAAATAAATAGGGGCACCTGGGTGGTACAGTCAGATAAGCATATGACTCTTAGTTTTGGCTCAAGTCATGATCTGAGGGTCGTGAGATTAAGCCAGGTGTCGGGGTCCATGCTCAGCATGGAGTCTGCTTGAGATTCTCTCTTCCTCTTCCTCTGCCCCTCCTGCTTGTGCTTGCTTTCTCTTTCTCTCTCTCTCCCTCAAATACATAAATAAATC